GCGGGTGGATGTGGAGCAGAGGGTGGATGTGAGCACCTGTCCACCACGCTGCCGGGCTTCACGCGGTCGATGACGATGACCTGCTTGTTTCGGTGATTGGCCGACGTTAGCGTGATACCCAGCGTTGCCCCCGGCGACTTGGCGATTTTCCACCAGCAGCGGACCGGAGGCGTTGGTCAGCGTGTCTGAGAGAGGAGAGAAAAGCTTCTTTAGGCTCCTTCTTCATATTTCTGTATCGCCAACATCAGCAGATGAGCTCCAGTCCTTGCAATGCATTCTGGGGGGGCTTGATTGTGCACTTTTACACTGGGGAATAAAGAAAGAGCCACGAGAGAAAAGACCAGCCGGAAACCCCCCAAACATCCAACGCTTTATGGAAACTTGTGTGTGTGTGTGTGTGTGTGTGTGTGTCTGGCGGCCCACCCATGATGGTGATGTCATACTCTATCTGGAACAGGGCCTCCTGGCCGCAGTGGGCCAACACGCTGAGGGCGTCGCTGTGGTTGGCGTTGTGCAGCGGCACGCCGTCCACGCTGAGCAGACGATCGCCGGGACGCAGCGTTCCCTCTCTGAGCGAGAGGGGAGGAGGAAGAGGAAGAGGAAGAGCGACGAAGTGTTAAAATAATACAGAGTGAGAATTTCGAGGTGACAACTGAGAGACAAGACCTACAAAGACCAGGTGAGAGAGCTTCTCTCTCCCCCACTGACTCCCCCCCCCCCCCTTCCTTCCTCTGCTGTCATCCCACTTTGTCCTACTTGGCCCGAGCTCCTTTCGTCTCCGTCTCTCTGATCTCATCCTCGTTTCTCTCTCCGTCTGAGACGTCCCCTCCAGTTCAAACGGAGGACAGAGCGAGTGGAATCGGCACTGAGACGTTGTGAGATCGCTGCACTCTGTTAAACAAGAAGCTTTTACACGTTTTCATCCCACCTGGTTCCAGTAAAATCGTTTTCCTTTACAAATGCCTCTGGTTCACAAATAGACCTTTCCAATATGTTAAAGGTATCTATGTATAGAAATAGATTAATGTTAGTGAGTCTACATATAGATACGGATATAGATCTATAAAGGCAGAGAGCTGGTCTCCATGACGCCAGCGTGTCATACTGAACAACAGATTCGCCAATGACTCATTTAAAATATTATCTTACTATTAGAATTGTAATTATTCTTTGGTGATATATTAGTTATCAGTTATTTCACCAAACGTATCTTAAGGGGACATTTCGTCTAAATATGTTACACTTTATTCTGAAGGATTCTACCCAACCTGATATATGCAACCATACATATTTAACCTCTATCTACAGCTCTTAAGTTGTTGGTCCGGCCTGCGAGTTCTTGAGACGTCGCTGGTTTAAAAGCTGACTCATGACGCATAAGAAGCATTTTCCTGCAATCAAAGCGAAGGTCTCTGGTCCCCGGGTGGACGATGGTTAAAATGTCCCTCCTGGGACCGCGTGGCGCTGTGGATTAACTCTTCTCCACATGAATGGGAAGTGAAGCACCATGAATATCACATTCGCTTCCCTCTGGACTGACCCACATTAGAAGATGATTTCCTTTGGAACGCTGTTAGAGCAAAACGACTGGATGGAATTGAATCTGCGTTTTGTCAGAGTGTTGCGGACCTCGAACAAATCAAAAGATTCAGTTGATCCGCGATCGTATTCGCGGCCCTTTTTACGGGACGTGTTCAACGTCTCCAGCGGTTCCCTCATTGTGTGCGAACACGGCGGCTTTGTTTCATGGCGACGTTCCGCTGGCGTCCTGATTTACCGCCGCGCGACGATCTCACTAAAATAGCTTCTCCCGGTTCCAAAGTCGAGCAGGGACTGATTGAAGCTGCTGCGTGATCAGAGGGGAGGGGGGGTCACGCTTCCTGTGATCAAACTGCTGCTGCCGCGTCCCGGAGAAGAACTCTGCAGGGAAAAGTCTGGTCTAGAAAAACACACAATCTTGCCGTGAATGATGACACGAGAAGGACTTCCGAACTGCAGGCGCTTGAACACTGACGCGTTACATCAGTTTAACAGTCGCCAAAAATGACATTTACTGGGAAATGTCATGCGTTATTGTCAAACACGAAGACTGAGACGGACACACGCCGACGCCATTAACGGGATGCGAGGTGATTTACGCCGGCGCCGCTGTGAGGAGCACGTAGCTGTCAACGACGCCAGCGACGGTCACAGGAAGTGACACCGCCGCCCTCGGGCTTTACTCCTGACTGCAACGGTTGGTTCAGCCTCAATGGAGGCCGGCGTCTTTGCCCTTTTAACCCCCCCCGTCCCCCCCCCCCCCGGCCTCTCAACGGAGGTGAAACCTGCTTGTTTCGGTGACCAGGCGGGTGGGTTTGGGCGGCTTTGGGCGAGTGGAGCCGACGTTGCATGAGTTTGCAGTCGGTGCTACCTGTCTGCAGGACCTCCTGGCCGGACGTAGGTGACCACTAGGGGGCGGGACTTGTGCCAGTCTTCATGGGTGCCGCCTGCAAGAAGAGCAGAAGGGGGAAAGCCAATCATACCAAATTGGCCCGTTCCAACCTGAAAACCCCTGTGGCGTCTGGTTATTATTTATATTTCACATTTTGAAATCTTTTTCTTTGCTCCCAACCAGCCGTCGACTAACCAAGAGATTCCAAAAGGATCCAAAAGTGCTGAGGTTCTACCCATAACTATTTGATGAACCCTTTTATGCAAAGGCATGTATTCCATGTTTACCTCTCATGACGAAACCAAAGCTGCTCCCCTCTTTGTGCAAACACATGTCGATGGTCTTTGATATGACGCCCGAGGTGCTGTCCGGTGCTTTGAGAGAGACACAAAGATGCAGAATTGACTTAATATTTACCGTTATTTGCTGGTCATGTTGTATCTTCCACATTGTTCTAACGTGGTACTTTCGGGGAGGTGGTACTTTCTGCCCCTGGAACAATACTAGGAGTGTATTTGTACCTGTCGGGGGCAGTTCGTACTCCACCTCCAGCAGAACCCTTTCCCCCACGTTCTTCAGTAAGCTGATGATCTCTTCGTGCCTCAGTTTGGTCAGATTGATGCCGTTCACGGACTTGATGTAGTCGCCGACGTTTAGCTGGTCACTCCTGCACGGTGGATGAGAGCGGAAGCGTGTTTAATCCCATGACTGTACAGGGTGGGCGTAGCCTTGATGACGTAATCTGTTGGTTTGTGATGGATGGTTTGTAGTGTCGCCATCTTTGGTTTTGGGATTTTACTATTTTACTATTTGTTTTTTTGCTAAAAGTGACACCAGAAAGCGAAGCTGAATACGACTGAGTGCTGAATAAGACCCACATGGATACAGGTAACTTTTATCAACTGAAAATACACACAACAGGTTACAATTAAAGGACCTGTCAATCAGCGTGTAGCCCCGCCCTAAAGCATCCCTTGCTTATTGGTCTGTCTGACTCTAAATGGACCATAATTTACTAACTAAACTTTATACTATTTACTTCTCTTCCGAGCATGTAGTAATATTTGTTACACAATCTATTCTCCCACCTGCTCGTTGCACCCACCTGGCCGCCAGACCCCCGGGCCGCAGGTTCGACACCCGCGGCTTCCCGTCCTTGTCGGTTCCTCCTGAGATGGTCAGGCCCAGCGTGCTGCCTTCTTTCTTCACCAGCTCCACCATGGTCACCCCCCGCAGAGCTTCTAACCAAAAACACACACACACACACACATAAAGACAAATACAGACACACACAGAAAGACAAATACAGACACACAGAAAGACAAATACAGACACACACAGAAAGACAAATACAGACACACACAGAAAGATAAAGAGGAGCCGCACACACAGAACGACGAGCACACACAACGGAACACACAGGTACAGCAGAGAGGTGGAAAGTGGTTAGCGGCGGGTCCCTCCATTCATCCTGATTCACGGATTAAAGGCGAGCTGAGTTACAAGGAAGATAAATCAAAGACGTTTGCTGCAGGGCGACCTTGAGTGGGACACTCCCCCTAGAGAACGCTCCGTCCCTGCAGCCGTGTTCGTATCATAATCCTTTACACGTGCACACACGCACACGCACACACGCACACAAACAGGCTCAAAAAGAGTTCTATTCTGCAAATAAAAAGCCGTCTCTCAATCGGTTTCTATACCTGTCATTCAATCTCTTGCAGGTCCACACACACATACACACACATACACATACACATGCACACACATACACACACATGCACACACATACACACACATACACACACATACACAGGTGAGCTTTGGTACGATAGATGGCTAAATTAGGTAAATCACTGAGGATCAAGGAGTTGCTTCACACACCAGTTATCTCTGTGTGGTATTTACATCACATGTCATTTTTCCGACGCTTTTATCCAAAGCGACTTACAATAACTGCATTTAACCATAAGGACACAAACTCAGAAGAACAAGAAACAAGAAAGTGCAATTTCATTAAATAAGCCGCTACAACTTGCTGTAGATAAGAACCATTATAAGTCCAATGTAAGTGCTACAGGTAGTTAGGGTGTTAGTGGAGGTAGAGTCTGAAGATGTGAAGGCTCTCTGTGGTCCTGATGTCTTCAGTTTTACCGCACACACACGTTCGTACATCAGTTCTGTTCCTATTTAGGTAGAAGGACGGTTTTGCAGTGTAAATGCGAATGCAGTTTGATGCGGATGGATTCCTCTGAAAAGAATCTTTACTAAATTAGTTTTTTGTTCGGCAGAAGCGGAAATGACTCCGTGTTGGGATTCATAAAGTTTTATCTACCATTTCATTTTGGTTCCCGGGGAATACAGAGAATATTTGCCCAACTCATAGAAAGAAACTCAGGCACAGGTTTCTATTATCAGAGAACTGAGGGAAACCATTTCATCAGAAAACACAAATATTACCCATTAAAAACACACACAGACATACGACAAAGTGAACAACAATGTGACCATGAAAGGTAAATGAGGCAAATACTTGTAACTGTGTGGCTGCAGGAAGGTGAAGCTAAAGCAATAGAGCGGAGTTAAGTAACTACAGGGGACGAAAGACACCGACCAAGAAGACGGTCAGAAAATGTAACAATGTAACGTGCTAGCGTGACAGAACGATGTAACATAAGAGCAATGCGACGACGGAGAAATAGAAAATTGAATCATTACAATGTAACTAAAAACACAACGTAGCAAGGTACCGCAATGGTCGGCGACTGTCGAAGTGTAATGTCGTAAGTGCAAAGTCAACGTTAGCGTTGGTTCCAGAAGGATCACAACCAACGGGCTGAAAAGTCTGCGTTTGAATGCCAAAGTTCTAACATTCAACCGGGGATCGCACAAATACGAATAGGCAACATTTGACTGCTGGAGGAGATCTCATTAAATCTGAAGGTTTTATTGGTAGGAGGGAAACGTTATGCTTACTGAGGTCACCATTATATATTGTAATATTTTTATATATTTTTGCAGTATGCACGAGAAAGGATTGGAATTTCTCTTGTTAAGTACAGAAAAACAAATAACTGAATGCGTGTACATTTTGCCGACAGGTATTAGAACAGAGGTGCCCACACTTTTCTGGCTCGCAAGCTACTTTTCAATTAACCAAGTCAAGGCGATCTTGCTTTTGAATGAAATTAAATGCGTCCGTTAGTGAGCCAAGCTCGCTAATTATCGTGATATTTTTTTTATCCATGGCAGGCGATCTACTGGCACTGCCTTCGCGATCCACTGGTCGACCTACTGGGCACCCCTGTATTAGTATAACGAGCTGTGGTGTGATAGTTGACTCAAGGAGACGTTCAGCGCAAACACTTTTAATTAACAGCCCGGTCCCTTGTTATTATCTGCAGACATCAGGTCACCCTGCCACATCACAATTTGATAAGGATCTGGAGAGAAAGAAATCCAGTGCAGACAGCCAAAGCCTCTTGTGTAAATGCCTCAAACTCATTAAGCAAACTGCTGTCGTTGCAAGATTTTCCTTCAGGCATTTCTCTGTGACAAATTATGATGAGAGGTGATTATGATGCTCTACTGTGGTGAAGCTAAATCTGGATGAGGGTTGACAGCAGCTCTCCGAGGATCCTAGCCGATGGATGGGGGAACAGATATAAGTCGCATGTACCTGGTATACTGTGTCTTCTCGAAGCCATGGTCTGTTCTGGTCCAGAGATATCCTTAGTTTTTCCATATGGTCCGTCATCTAGAGGAAACAGAGACACAATGTGAAGCTTTAGAGCTCACTTCGGTTTCTTGGTTGAGCTCAGGCCTGTAGCACTTATTTCTTAACGTCGAATGAACAATAAACTATTTGAACCGCCAATGGAAGAAAAGATGTCGTGCCATATTACTACCCTCCCTCGCCCCTTACTACAAATGCTAGGTTAATGCCACTGCTGCATGTTACAGTCACTCTCAACCCCATGAGTCACTTTTCATGTCCTCCTCCCCCGGCCATGTTGAAGAAACACGTTTGTACAGTCGTGATACACATCGGTGGCCATGAACACAAGCGATGTTACTGACTGTTCTGGGCGAAGCATTGTCCCGATAAAGCTGTAAAACAATCAGAGCGCAACTGTAATTATCATAGCTCTAGTAAGTCAATGACAAGAGAAACTGGGTATTTTCCAGATGTACTTAAGATATTTGAGAAAAATGAGTACCTCCTCATACTGTGCTTAGTATGAACAGCAACACTAGTGATCATTGCGCGCTTGGTTATGTTAAAAACCACATGAGTAGAAAGTCATCGGTCCACTTCTCATTTTTAGGGAAATATCTTGAAAACTAAATAACCCCAAATTCCCAGAGGGTGAACCCAAATGGCTTTGGTGAGCCCCTTCAGTTTGACACAAAGTGGAGTTGTGGAGATGAGCTTGAAATTACACGATATGTCTTTATCCAAAATCCCAGTTTCCTCTCCCAGTGAACAGATGCAGCCAAAGGGGGTCAAAGTGCTCTCAAAGTGCTGATTCAGGGCTGGTTCCCTCCCTCACATATAATCTATTCAGCTCTATCACAAGTGCAATCGCATCCATTTTGTATCCAGCACCTTGTGACTTAGTCGTTACCTGTAACTTCTTTTCAATGGTTCGACCCCTTGGTGAATACACAGAGGTCATTTGTGAAGTATTGATGAGGTTAATTTACCTCCTGCTCAGTCATCATGTCACAAGGGGAACAGATGTCCTGTTTAATGGCAGAAGCTTTGGGGCAGAGACATAAAGTTTTTAATATTTGATAAGCTATAAATTTATTTCTCCATGGATCTCCACAGGTGTCTGTCTGGACAACACTTTTAAACTATACACATTTTTATTATGTCTCCACAGCAAGAATGAAAACTATCTTCCTAAAACTTGCTGCAATGCAGTTTTAAGGGGGACTTTTTCTGTTAGGTACTCTCCAAAAGGGGCTGTGAGAGACTTCAGTATACAGAGAACACAAATCCCACCCGAGCAACCGCAATTCTCAGCCGTGTAAGAGACACCAAAAAAACATTGTAATTCAAAGACAACGACAAATAATTAGTAAATATTACAGGCAATTTAACTGACGCATTTATCCGCAAATTACATTGCATTTTAACCCATGGCTATTTACATTTTTTTCCCAGGGCTCAAACCGCCAACCTTGCGGTTCCCAGCGCACCCTAACTCCTTGACGTTAGCTTAAAGGCCATACCACTAGAACAAAGACTAACTCCTTGACGTTAGCTTAAAGGCCATACCAGTAGAACAAAGACTAACTCCTTGACGCTAGCTTAAAGGCCATACCACTAGAACAAAGACTAACTCCTTGACGTTAGCTTAAAGGCCATACCACTAGAACAAAGACTAACTCCTTGACGCTAGCTTAAAGGCCATACCACTAGAACAAAGACTAACTCCTTGACGTTAGCTTAAAGGCCATACCAGTAGAACAAAGACTAACTCCTTGACGTTAGCTTAAAGGCCATACCACTAGAACAAAGACTAACTCCTTGCGATTAGCATAAAGGCTAATTCGGTAGAACAGAGTCATCTATCATCGTGGGAAATGAAGTGATGATGTGTAGCTCAGTTTGACAGCATCTTTGACAGTTGTGACTGTTGTTGTTGTGGCTCTGATGGGAGCGGATGTGTCCTACTTTACAGCCTCTGCTTCCTCACAGGGGGGGTTAACAATTCATAAACCAATTCTCTACCACGTTCACGCCCCCCCCCAGAAGTGTCATTAAGTTCATTACCATAAGGGACAAATGTCTGTCAGAAACTTGCAGAATAGATATGTATATATATATATTTTATTTTAATGCTTGACGGCACCTGAAGCGCCATTTTTAAACAAGCACACTATCAACAGAGTTAAGCAATTGGAAAGGCTGTCCTGTAAAATCCTTTTTCTTCCTTAGTTGTGCTTTTAATTCCACCTCCAATGACATTCACACTCCTTTGCAGCTGCCTTCAAGACACAATTTCACTACAACGAGGCACTGCAGTTTTGCTTTTAACTAAATACATTTAGTGTACACCAGGAAACGGGTATGATTCTGAAACTATGCAATCAATAAAGACATTCTAGGAGTTCATTGGTGGAAGCAAGAGACAGTCCCTATGGAGGGTCAATGGGCCCTGTGGCCTGTTGAGTGCAGAAACCAGCGGCTCCTCAGCTGAGATGTTCTTTTTGGCACAACACCCTTTCTTTTATTAAATACTTTTGATTTTAACTTTCAATCCAAGATGTCTTCTGTCTGTCCGGAGTTTCTCCAACAAACATCTGCCAAATGTCCAAATGTATTATTTATGTTGTATAAACAGAGTTCAGATGGATCCTACCAAGTATTTTTCTACCACTCAACAAGAAGTGTTTTCCATACGGTGACACATTTCCCTCTAAGACTTTTTAAATATGCAGCGCTGTCCCCACCGGTAATGCTGGGAAATCACTCGTCTCCCCGGCAGTGACAGCGGGAAAGGAGGCCATTGTTGTTGTGTTCTGCAGTTTAGGGATCTCCACAGAGGTGTAATGAGTTTAATAATTCATAAGTTGTGGATTAAATTTTGCTTTAAAACCCTTTCATAAGTTTTCTGGCTGGCTGCTTTTCCCGCTGTGGGGCTGTCGGAGGCATAATGGACGCCAGAGGCTGCTCATCAGCACAGACACACACACACACACAAACAAATACACTCACACACACAGACATGAACAGCCTCGGGCAGCGCTGACTGATATCCAAAAGGATTTAGGCACCAGACGTACACCTGCACCGGTGCACGGGCACCTAAACAGACAAACAAAACGTCTGTGTGTACAAGCACAAGACAGACACGCACCGCTACCCAAACAGGACACGCACACGCGCACACACATGCACACACGGAAACCTGAGACATAAGGAACGCTCGAGGCAACTCGGTAACTTGATGTGGACAAAACTGTCTAAAGGTTCCCCAGCAGTGGGGAGGGCAGGAGGTCCTTACGTTGAGATCGCTGCAGCGTTTGGGGTTTCCCTTCTCCTCTGAAGGAGCTGAAGGTCTCCGGGTCAATCATTTGACTGCGATTAGGCTAATGACTGCTTACCCAATAGGTAGCGTTATGGACAGGGCATCAGACTCGGCGGGAGCAGAATGTGGCACGGGAACTATTTGTTCTGTAATTGAAAGTTTCTTCCGGACCACGACACCATGACCCTCCGAACAATTTGCACTTTTTGGGTACCGCGTGAAACAAACATCTGTAGTAATTCTTGTCACGGTGTGGTTCACTGCCTGTCTTATTTTGTAGTTTTCTTCCACTGGTGTCCCCGCGTAACTTCACTTCCTGCCTGGTCCTGTCATCCCCTGTGATTGTCTGATTGTTTCCACCTGAGTCCAATCACCTGCACCTCGCTAGTGTATTTAAGCCGTGTGTGTTGTTTGTCACTTGTGGCGGCATTGTCTATCGTCCTGGATGTTCCCTGTCTATCGTCCTGGATGTTCCCTGTCTATCGTCCTGGATGTTCCCTGTCTATCGTCCTGGATGTTCCCTGTCTATCGTCCTGGATGTTCCCTGTCTATCGGCCTGGATGTTCCCTGTCTATCAGCCTGGATGTTCCCTGTCTATCGTCCCGGATGTTCCCTGTCTATCAGCCTGGATGTTCCCTGTCTATCGTCCCGGATGTTCCCTGTCTATCGTCCTGGATGTTCCCTGTCTATCGGCCTGGATGTTCCCTGTCTATCGTCCCGGATGTTCCCTGTCTATCGTCCTGGATGTTCCTCGTCCCTGCCTGCCTTTTTTCCCCCGGTACTTGTATGTGTTTTTGCCCATTGGCCTTTTGCTTTGTTGGAGTTTATGACTATTAAAGTGTCGTTGTTGAAGAACTCTGCAGTTGAGTCCTGCCTTCCCACGCATCTCTGACAATTCTAACCCAAACAAAAATCTTTTCCTAAAACTAATTTAGGAAATGACTCCACTTCATATGTCCTTAGTAGTAAAGAGTTTATGGTCGCAATCTCTAGTTTCAAGTCTTCTTCAACAACAGCATGATGTTCATTTGGTAAATTATGGTCCACTTATAGTCAAACAGACCATAAAGCAGGGGACGCATTAGGGCGGGGCTACACGCTGATTGACAGCTCTCTACCTCCAGGAGAGACAAATCATCTTCCTTCCGAGTTGTAGTAACTACGTGTGCAGCGTCCCACGCCGGTTGCACGCGGTTGTGGGTGAAGATTTAGAACATCCAGCCTCACACGGAAACAGCTGGGGGGCCTTTGAGTGTGCGCGCATGCATGAAGGGAATACTAACAGACACAACTCGGAGGGGGAGCGCAGGCTTTCCTTAAGCTTCCAACAAATCCCCTACACAAACACGCACACAGTACACAGACACACACAGAGACAAGATGAGGACGCACTGTCGTCACCTGAGGACAATCGGCAGAGTGAAAGGACTCCCTCCTTATTATCTCCCAACATACAGAGGCAGTGCTGAGCGTATCTCACGGCAAGAAGCCACGGCCCACAATGCACCTTGCTAGGAGAGCAATGTTCTCCTGTTAAGAAGAACGAGGCGTAAAACAGACAGAACACATTAAAGATGAGAATCAGTGAAGGAGGAGGTGGGGGGGGGGCACCTGCCTGCAGCTGGCTCTATGCACACCTCATTTCAATGCTCCCCCCTCCCAACCCTCCAAAAGATGCTCCAAGTGAACTGCAATCTCACCGCACACACGGTGT